TTCTTTTAATAATAAGAAATTTGAATTCACCAGTAAGCTGAATAAAATATGAATTTTAATGCTAAAGTCTCAAAAATCTCCTACATTGCTAGTGGGAATGTAAAGGAATGTCCAGATATTCTTAATGAGTTTCTTAATTAAAACAAACCACATGCCTATGATACTATCCAGCAATCACACTTAGCCACTTTCCCCAGAGAAGCAGAAATTACATCCACACAAAAACCTACACATAAATATTCTTAGCAGCTTTATCTGGAACAGCCAAGAACTGGAAACACCCAACTGTTTCTTGACAGGTGAATGGTTGCGCAAACTACAGTAAACTCGTAACATGGATGCAAGGAGCCAACTGTTGATAAGGGTAAGGGTAAGGTTAAGAAGCCAGTCTTGAAGTCAAATATTGTATGATTCCATTGATTTATGTAACTTTCTTGAAATAACAACATTGTAGTGATAGAGGTAGTGGTTTTCAGGGGTTCACTCAGGAGGGTGCATTCTAGAGGGAGCTCTTTGTGGTGAGAGAACAGCTCTGTACTTCAATACGGTGATGATTACCCCAAACTCCACAAGTGAGAAGATGTCCTGAAAGTGGAGTCTCAGGGTACCAGTGGTGGCTTTTGATATGCACTATGGTTAGAAAAGAGGCAACCTCTGGGGGAAGCTTGGGGAAGGGTACAGGACACCTCTCTGAGCTATCTTTGCAACTTGCTATGAATCTATAATAACTGCAAAATAAAAAGTTAAACATGTGAATTTTAATGTCAAAGACTCGAAAATAAACCACCTTAGGCAAAGTTCTATAAGAGCAGGCTGTGGGGGAGCAGAGGAACTGCAGATCCCTGTGGGGTCTGGGTCATCCTAGCTTGTCGCCATCTGGAAATGTGAAGGAACCAGACTCTCCAACTGGGGGTGCCATAGAGCATAAGGGGAGCCAATAAGGGGAGCCTGGGCTTCATTTGAGCCTTTGTCTGATTCAGCTTTCTTGGCATTTTGGCCCCTTGTACACATGGGAATGTCCTCAGCATAGGCCTGCTCTTGGGTTCTCACCGGGTGCTTCATAAGCAGTGGCTGGAGGGAAATGTCCACCCTGGGCAGCCTCCCCCATGGACACCATTGGAATCTGGTTACTGGATTTCACTTTCTCTGCCCCTCTTTGCTGGCCAGAGCTCCCCATTTTACAAATCACTCTCTGGACTCATGTCCTTAGGAAAACATAAGCCTGTCTGTGACTCCGTGGGCCCTGAGACAGAATCTGTTTACCCACCACCCAAGGCCTGATGCCTTGTGGTCAGCCCCAGGGGAGGCAGCGATTGCAGGCCCAGAAGCCCTGAACCAGAGGGAGGGGCCATTCTGCACCCCCTCTCTAGCCCAGGATGTCTTTTGCTCACTGGGATCAGAATCACCCATCTGCTGCAACACGGCCGGCCCTGTCACCATGGCTTGCATGACTGACACCAAGCATAGGCTCTCCCCCACTCCAATGTAAGGCACACATGATTCTAGGTGCCCAGCTGGGCATTTAAGAGAAAAGCAGCTGTTGAATAACTCCATTAAATATATACATGTACGTATGTGAATAACTCCATTAAATATATACATGTACGTATGCGAATGTACGCACATCTGTGGATTATAAATTATTTCTGTACTTTCTGAGTCTTCAACAATGAGTAAGATTACTTATGAATTAAAAAGAAACAACGTTGTAATGAGGGAACAACAGACAAGACCAAATGGAGAGATGTTGTACCAAATGGAGGGACGCTGTACAAAATAACTGATCCGTACTCTTCAAAAGTCTTAAGACAAAGACTAAGAAATTGTTCCAGATAAAAGGAGATTAAAGAGATATGACAACTAAATACACTGTGGGATCCTGGATCCTGACTAGAAAAATGGTATTGGTGGAAAAATCACAGAATTTGAATACAGTATATAGAATTGTGACTAGCATAGAGTCAATGTGGCTTTTCTGATTTTGAAAGTCGTACCTTGGAAGATGTGGATATTAGGGGAAACTGAGGGACGAGGGCATAGAACTCTGTAGTATTCTTGCAGCTTAAATGTACTTCTAAAATTACATTAAAATAGTTTAATTTAATAATTACAATAAAATAAATAAAGACAGTTGAACCGACAATATCCCCACCCCCTGAAGCACTTGGGGCTCTTTCAGGAGTTCCACTGACAGGAGCAGGGTGGGGGCACAGGATGACCCTCTCAAACACCTCTCACCTGGGTCTGTTCCTGAGTTGGAAGCTCTATGCCTCCAGCCTCTTGCCAGTCATTCTTTCCCAGCCTCTACCTAGGCCTTTCTCGCTCTTGCCCCCTCAGCCTAGAAATGCCTGTCCTTTGAGGTCTAACTCTCAGGGACAGGCCTGGCCCCCTCCTGACCTGCAGAGGTCAGATGGTCTCTCCTTGCTGAGGTGATAGTCTGATGACCATGGAGAGGAAATGCTGGCAAGTCTCTCCCCACCAGACAGGGAACCCTGGAGGCAGCTGCCAGCTCTGTCACCGTGGCTTGCATGACTGACACCAAGCACAGGCTCAATAAAAAGAGGTGGAGCCAACCACAATCCATGTGGCTTTTCCAAGATGAAAGACACACCCAGGTCCTGCCACAGAGAACTCATAAGAGCACTACGATGTCAACAGTCTGGCAGGGTGCCCATGCTTGTCCCCAGAGGTGGCAGCCCTGGCAGAAACCTGCCTTGGGTGGGGTTTCAGCTGAAGTGACCCAAATGCTGGGCTCACCCCATCTGGCTTCCCTTTCTGGTTGACATCAATGCCTGTCCTTTAACTGGTTTGCCCAAAAGTCATTCAATCTGGCCCAACCTTCCAGGAGGATGACCAGAGTGAGAAGGGAGGGTCATGTGCAAGTTAAAGGTAGATCCACTCTCTCTTTTCCTCCCTGCCCAGGGGCAACAGTGCCAAATTCAGGACAGGTAAAGAAAATATCACTTAGAAGGTAGGCTATTTCAGAAGGTGTTTGAAAAACAAAACACACTTTTTTTGCCCTGAATTGGTCAGCAGCCTTGAGTGTCCCCCTCAGTGAAAAGGGTATGACAGCCAGCCTACGGGAGACTTGAATTCTGCTGAGCCCTGCAGCCCCCCTGAAGGGCCCCAGTGGGTAATTGGGTGGTAGGCTCTCCTTCATAACCAGGACGTCCCACAGACTGTCTTGTGGCACATACCACCATAAGCTACCTAGTGTGGGGACATAAGTCAAAGTTCAAAGTCAGCTGACCTGACAAGAAAAAATTGAAAGACCTCTCAAAAGGAAAGACAGAGTCTTCCTCCTTTTGAACTTTACAAAGGCACAAATAGTTGGAGAAAAGAAACCCAACAGTGAAAGTACATTTCCAAGGACCTTCCCAGGATCCCGGGTATTGTAGCAAATGCTCTGGGCCTGGGGGGTGGGGGGGCAGGTGGCCTGCCAGCCCCTCCCCCACAGTGGGTCCCGTTTTGGAGGGAACCCACCATCACTGCCTGAGAGCGCACAGAGCATCGGGCCACCGCCCTGCGACAGCGCCCGCTCTGAGCCCAGCGGGAGATGAGCGACTGCTCTGGCTATCCTAAGGGGTCCCCGCCTCGACGGGTGCGCTGGCCACCCCAGCTGGCTCCCGCCCGTCCGTCTCTGCAGGTGGCCGCCGGTCGCACTCACCAGCTCTGGCAGGAAGAAGGCGTAGGGGATGGTGAGGAACAGCGCGACCCCCGAGGGCGCGTCCGGCAGTGCGTAGGTGGTGGCGGGCGGGTCGCGGGAGGCCATGCTCGCTGCCCTGCTCTGCGCCCCTGGCTCGGCGGCAGCTCGCTGGTGCCCGCAGCCCTGTCAAATATCACCTCCTGCCAGACACACCCATCGGACGTCGCCTGGGAGGGGAAAATATGTTCCAGCAGAGCAGGTCCTTCCACTCACAGCAGCCAACAGATCCTCCGCGAACCGCTGAGCGGCGTCAGATGCGATTTGCCCCTCCAGCAGGGACGGGGCTGGGGCAGGAGGCGGGCAGAGCCGGAGTCCTTGCTACACTTCTCCTCCGGGGGAATATTTCACTCCTGGAGCATATTGCTCCAGGGAGGCCAGCTACAGCCCCTCCCTGCCCCAACCCTGTGCAGGAGCACAGGCTAAGGCTGTTCTGCCATGGCAAAGACTGTTTATTGAGCACCTACTATGAGTCTTCTGCAGACAGCCTGGTGCTTTTGACAGCCTACCAGTGGCTGTTTTGGCCTTTTCCGAGTAAGGAGACTGAGAATCAAGTCAAGGCTCCTGAGCTGGCCACTAGATATGGGTTTTCTCATTGTCCCTTCCTGGGGCAACCCTCAGCTCCCAACCACAGGACAAGAGAGGCTCTCGCTTCCAGCTCCACCGTTACGGCTTGATGTTTCCTTGGTTCTTGGATCCCCCCTCATGGTCCTCCTCTCCTCTCCTCCTCACTGGGTGGATGAATGGAGGCCCCATTCTGGCTGGCTGCTGCCCCAAGCCAAGACCCTCCTTCCCTTGGCCTCCCTTTCTGTGAGTTCTTCACCCAGAGCTGGGCTTGGGGCCAAGCAGTTCCTTCCTGACTCCCTCAGGAGCCTGGGGGCTGGCTGCAGGGGTGTGACCGGAGGCAAGCTACCCCTTCCAGACAGGTCCTGGAGCCTGAGCCCTTTTCCTCTCTACCTTAGAGTGGGCTAACCTTCCTTTGTCCTGCCCTAAAGAAAGGCCTTGCATCCAAGAGTCTGCTCAGGATGCTGTGGGTGGTGTCCCTTCTTCCTACCCTCCAGGGCTCTAGGCAGACCAATTGGGAAGCCGCTCCCTGTTGTGGAGAGGATGTGGGGGAAGACTGCCTTGAATGCTGTGGTAATTAGAAGGAGCCAGGGTCCTGACCTCATCAGGAAGAGCAGAGAATGCCAGGGCTTGCCTCAGGGCCCCAGGTAGGTAGAGAAGCGGGCTAGGCCTTTCACTGGTCTTCGAGAGCCAGGGGAGAGAGGAGTTTAAACAAATGAAACCAAAAGCAAGGGCGTTGCAAGGACAGGCAACGGGTACTCTAGTTATCTTCAAGCCAGCCTGGCAATCCTTTTCTCCCAGGCCTACGGGAGCTAGGAAGGAAGGTTGCCCCTAATCCCACCTGCCAGTCGGGCCCCATCTTGTTTACAGGATTAGCCCAAGCAAAGCACACATTTCATTAGGAATCCCACTCTCCAAAATGTTGCAAATAAGCACTGTGCCACTCTCACAGGCTGCAGGTGACCTGTGACTTGACCATGGATAACATGGAATAGTGGGGAAAACTTACAGTAAAATAAGAAGAAAAATAACCTTTCTCAGGCTCATATCTCATCCAGGAAATGAAGATAAGAATACAACTCACAGCCCCTTAGGCTTTTGGGTTGAAAGGGCCTGGGCCACTTCCATTATCTGAAGCAATTAGTTTATTAAGTAATAATGGTATGATAAAAGAAGGGTATAAAACATTTGGCATATTTTATATGTTTACACTTCTCCAAGTAATGTTTTGTTCTTTGCAACCAAGTATACAGTCTACACTCTAATTGGGCTATTTGTAAGAAAAGAATATGATTTATAGTGCAGCACAGGCAGTGAGGTCTCATAAGCGACATTAGTTTAGAAAATTTAGTTTAAATTTTCACCTTACAGTCCAGCCAATATGTCTCTGGGGCTGTGGACACAAGCTCAAAAGTCTGGTGTGAGGTTGTAGGGAGACCCAGATGAGCCTTCTGAACTCTTCTGTAAAGGGCCTACCAGTTAATCCTGAAAACCATGCAAACAGTACTTACTGATTATTATGATCATGGGATCTGTTTTCTCATTTGTTAGTTGGGGAGGATTAAATGAGAAGAGACATGAAAATATCTAGGACAGTTTGGGTATACGGCAGATGCTTAGTAAGTACTTGTTTATCGAAATCTAATCCTGAAATGGCTTTTCTTCTGGCTCTCTTTCCTTTCCAGCTGGTCTCATTGTGGAAAGGAAAGAGAGTCGGAAGAAAAGCCATTTCAGGATTAGATTTCGATAAACAAGTACTTTATCAATTTAGAACACTGATTCTAAAACTATTCTAAAATAGCCTTTATTGATATAAAATACACTTTCAGAAAATGTGTATAAAATGTGCAGACCATGAAACTGCCACCCCAGCAGGACATAGAACATGGCCAGACTACTGTCCATCATTTTCGTCCTTCTTCCTCTCAAAATAACTCCTCTAATGACTTTGAACCCCTCAGATTGGTTTTGCCCATTTTTGAATGGACTCCTTCGTGTTTGGCTTCTTTCAATCAACATCATGTCTGTGAAAATTGTCCATGTTGTTCTATGTTGCTGTAGTTCATTCACTACTGGGTAGTATCCCATGGCATGAATGTACTACCCTTTATTCTATTGTCCCTGCACGTTGGCTTCTTTCAATTTGGGCTTATTAGTAACACAGATATGAACATTCCAGAACATGTCTATTGATACATCTATGTGTACAATCCTTTGGGAATATCGTAGGAGGTGGTATTGTGGGTCATTTGGTATGTGTTTTTAGCAGATAATGTCAGGCTATTTTCCAAAGTGGCTGGATCATTTCTATCCCCATAAGAATATATATAAGTTACAGTTGCTTCCAGTTGGTGTTTGCATGTATATTATAATACACTTGGATTTGCATGGGTTTTTTTTTATCCTTTTACTTTTAACTTACCTATGTCACTATATTTGTAAATGAAGGGTTTTTGGTCTTTTTTGTAGCTGTGATATAGGTGGGCCTTTAAAAAAAATCCATTCTGAAATGTGCTGACTTTAATTGGTGTCATTTACACTGGATATAAACTGATATTTTTGGATTTAGGTAGACAGTTTCATTTTTTGGTTTGTTTGTTCTGTGTTTCATTCCTCCGTTTCCGTTTTCCTGCACCTTTTGGGATTTTGGGGGACTATTTCTAATATACCATGTTAACTCATCTATTAAGTTTTGACTCTGTCTCTCTGTGTTTTTTGTTTAGAAGATGCTATGAGAGGTTCAATATACATAGTTAGGCTGGGCACTGTGGCTCACACCTGTAATCCTAGCACTTTGGGAGGCTGAGGAAGGAGGATGTCTTGAGGCTGGTAGTTCAAGACCAGCCTAAGCAAGAGCAAGACCTCCTCTCTACTAAAAATAGAAAAATTAGGTGGGCATTGTAGCATGCACCTGTAGTCCCGGCTACTCGTAATGGTGAGGCAGGAGGATCAATTGAACTTAGGAGTTTGAGGTTGTAGTGAGCTGTGAGGATATAGGTGGCAGAGTGAGGCCCTGGCTCACAAAAAACAAACAGACCAAAACAACAGTTAACCTTTCAGTCTACTCGGATTTAATGCCTTGCCATTTCAAATGAAACATAGAAACCTTACCATCACATAGGTTCCTTTACCCTCTTACCTTTCAGAGTAGTTGTCATACATATTAAAAAAAACAGAAACTGGAAACCCTAACAGACCATGCTATGGTTCTTGCTTTCAACCACTGTGCATATTTTAAAGGGCCTAAGAGAAAAACATCTTTACCAATGTATTTGCCATTTCTGTTGCTGTTCCTTCCCTCCTAATGCTCCAAGCTTCCTTCCGGTATACTTTCCCTCTGAAGAACTTCCTATAGTATTTCTTTTAGAGTAAATTTGCCGGCAATGAATTTTCTCAGTTTGTTTCCTTCCATCTGAGAATGTCTTTAGTTCACTTTCATTCCAAAAGGATACTTTGACGGAATATAGAATTCTAAGTTAACAGGTTTTTTTCTTTCAGTACTTTAAACATGTTCTAATATATGGTTTCTGATAAGAAATGTGCAGTCATTCAAATTCTTGTCCTATATTTAGTGCCTTAATTTTCTATAGTTTTAGTAGTTTGATTATGATAAGACTGGCCATGAATTCCTCTAGGCATGTCTTGTTTGGTGTTGACTGAGCTTCTTGAATCTGTAACTTTATATCTTTCGCCACATTTGGGAAGTTTTCAGTCATTCTTTCTTCAGAAGACTTTTTTTCAACTACATTCTTCCTTCTTCCTTCTAAGACACCAATGACAAGAACATTAGACCTTTTGGATTTATCCTATAAGTCCTGAGGATCTATATATATATTTTAAATCTATTTCCTTTCTGTTGTTCAGGTTGAATAACTTATACTGGTCTATCTTTGAGTTCTCTTTTTCCTCTCTCTCCATCCTGTTATTGAATCCATCAACGTATTGAGTCTGTTACTGAACTTTTTCATTTTACTTCTAAAATTTCACATTGTTTGTATTATCTATGTCTCTGTTAAGACTTTTTTTCTATTGATTTCTAGAGAGCATTGCCCTTACTTCTTGCCCTTACCATAATATTATATGGGTAATATTATATTACCCATATAATAGCTGCTTAAATGTCTCAATTCCAACAACTGTGTGTTCTTGAGTATTTTCTCTTGATTTATCTTTTTTTGTTTTGTCTTTAGAAATGTTAAGATCTTCCTGGATCTTGAAATACCAAGTAATGCTAGATTGTATCCTGAATATTATGAATATAATGTTATGGGAGTATAGGTCTTAATTAAACCCTGTGGAGAATGTTGAATTTTGTATTTCTTTTAGCAGGCCATCAGCCCAATTGGGTTCAGGCTGCAAGTTTCTATCTGCTTTTTCTGAGCTGTGGTTCCAATGCCAGTTTCATTTTTCAGGCTTTGCTGTGCTATTTGGATTTATTTGATGTGTGTACTAGTCTTGGACTTGAGACGAGTCTGGGTCCCTGTTACACAGTTCTGAAATCCTTT